TATATATATATATTTATATTTATATATATATATATATACATATATATCGTGAGATATGTTAGATATTAACAGGGATAATACACTGTACACAACGCGTGGTTTGTACTCAGAGGTGGTGTTGGTATCACCATAGAAACACTATCTGCAATCGCACTGAGCATCGCCGTATTCCTTTAAGCACTAATGACAAAGTGAAGGTCATAGAATAACCCAAACGTCTAGCATTACAGTAACCGAGTAACCCTGTCTGTGGCTGCCATGGAGACAGCAGCACACGTGTATCCGCGTTTGAGTACCTGTCCGTCTAAGACAGTTCACGTACGACAAAGTGACAAGACAATGGCCCATTATCTCCCATTGGGCTTGTTGTTGGTTCCATCGCTATTTCAACACTCTGAGTATTATTATCAGCTGTGCATGTTAAAATACTCTGAATAATTACCATTAGTTGTGCATGTTAAAACACTCTAAATACTTATTACCAGTTGTGCACGTTACAACACTGAATAATTACTATTAGTTGTGCGTGTTAAAACACTCTCAATAATTATTGATAGTTGTGCATGTTAAAACACTCTGAATAAATAATATTAGTTGTGCATGTTGATAGACTCTGAATAATTACTATCAGTTGTGCATGTTAAAACACTCTGAATAATTATTATTAGTTGTGCACGTTACAACACTGAATAATTATTATTAGTTGTGCATGTTAAAACACTCTCAATAATTATTAATAGTTGTGCATGTTAAAACACTCTGAATAATTACTATTAATTGTGCAGGTTGAAAGACTCAGTTGTGCATGTGAAAACACTCTGAATAATTATTATCAGTTGTGCACGTTACAACACTGAATAATTACTATTAGTTGTGCATGTTAAAACACTCTCAATAAATATTAATAGTTGTTCATGTTAAAACACTCTGAATAATTACTATCAGTTGTGCTTGTTAAAACTCTCTGAATAATTACTATCAGTTGTGCTTGTTAAAACTCTCTGAATAATTACTATCAGTTGTGCTTGTTAAAACTCTCTGAATAATTACTATCAGTTGTGCTTGTTAAAACTCTCTGAATAATACTATCAGTTGTGCATGTTAATTACATCACGCTCTTCATAGAAGTCGTATACACGCGACCAACCTTCAGAACAAGGTACACACACGTGTCATGTGTTGACACCGTAGACTGACTGTCAGTGTAGTCGTGATTGCAATGTTAATGGGTGTGCCTATATCGGTGAACCCTACAATTGAAGCTAACATCGACACACAACCGACCTAGTACTTAGGGTTTAGGGATTAAGGTTTGCAACATGCTGACGTATGTTTTACCGATTTGGCGATTCAAACATTGGTGGGTACACCCGATAGATACACGTTGCACCCGATAGATACATATTGCACCCGATAGATACACATTGCACCCGATAGATACACATTGCACCCGATAGATACACATTGCACCCGATAGATACACATTGCACCCGATAGATACACATTGCACCCGATAGATACACATTGCACCCGATAGATACACATTGCACCCGATAGATACACATTGCACCCGATAGATACTAAGACATAACACCTGGCACTTGACATGTGACAACTCACAATTGACATGTGACAACTCACAATTGACATGTGACAAACAGCACATGACACATGACACGTGACATACCCGAGGGTTCCAGGCGTAGACTAGCCACGTACTGCAGATGCTCTCGTACCGTCAGAAAGGGAAAGAGCGCATCAAACTGCATCACATAGGCCGCCTGTCGTTTGTAGTAGATGCCCCGCTGCGCCCCATTGACACGGATGTCACCTGAGAAAAACCAAAGTTTATTGTGTGAGGTTTATTGTGTGGGGTTGTTGTGTGGGGTTTATTGTGTAGAGTTTATAGTGTGGGTTTATTGTGTGGGTGTATTGTGTGGGTGTATTGTGTGGGGTTTATTGTGTGGGTGTATTGTGTGGGTTTATTGTGTGGGTTTATTGTGTGAGGTTTATTGTGTGGGGATTATTGTGTGGGGTTTATTGTGTAAGGTTTAATATGTGGGATTATTGTGTGGGGATTATTGTGTGGGTCTATTGTGTGGGATTATTGTGTGGGGATTATTGCGTGGGGATTATTGTGCGAGGATTATTGTGTGGGGTGAGTGCTGAGTGCTTTCACAGCCACTGGTTGTCGCAGGTCTTTTGATGTGTGTGTGTGTGTGGGGTTTGTGATCATGTCTCGTATTGTGTGTTGCTACTGTTTGGTGTTGTCGGGGTGGTGGTGGTGGTTTGTCTGTGTTGTTTCTCGCGTGTGTGTGGTTTCTCGTGTGTATGTGTGGTGTGAGTGCTGAGTGCTTTCACAGCCACTGGTTGTCGCAGGTCTTTTGATGTGTGTGTGTGTGTGTGTGCGTGGTGTGTCTTTCGTTGTGTGTATTTGAGTTTTGCTATACCAAATATGCGATGTTTGCAGCATTTAGTGTCAACACCCATCAGTCACTACACCGCAAAACAATACACTACCTACACATGACACACCCCACATGACACGTAGATAACATCAAACACTTAACATGATACGTAGGCAACATGACATTCTGAACATGGCACGTAGGTAACATGGCACGTATATGACATGACACGTAGGCAATATGACACGTAGGTAGCAAATTACAATGTGTTCACCCATCCGTCCCAACACCTATCAGTCACTACACCACAAACAACACTACACATGACATACTTGACATGACACACTTGACATGACACAGATAACATGACACGTAGGTAACATGAAACGTAGACAACACTGACATGTAGGTAATATGACACGTAGACAGCACTGACACGTAGGTAATATGACACGTAGGTAATATGACACGTAGGTAATATGACACGTAGGTAAGATGACATATAGATAGCATTATACGTAGGTAACATGAACCGTAGACAGCACTGACACGTAGGTAATATGACACGTAGGTAACATGACAGGTAGATAACAAAGTACAATGTATTCACTCACCCGTCACAACGCCACCGGCTGGTTGGCGATCGGCAAGAATGTTCAGGAAGGTCGTCTTACCACCTGTACATTAACACACACACACACACACAGGGAGAAGAAGAAGGGAAGAGAGCGTGAATGATCAAGGAGACGGCTGATGCAAAGAACTTCAGTGTGTGCTCGCCCTGCAGAAGGGGGTGTGGTAGGGTCATGTGTACAACGGTTAAACTGTTCTTATACACAGTCATGTGGACAATTGTTAACATTTATAGTCATGTGGACAATTGTTAAACTGTTGCACTAGACATAGTCATGTGGACAATTGTTGAACTGTTGCACTAGACATAGTCATGTGGACAATTGTTGAACTGTTGCACTAGACATAGTCATGTGGACAATTGTTGAACTGTTG